AGAGAGCAGAAAACAGCTTCAGGAAGATATGTCTTGATGGTAACCAAAAATTCCCTGGGAATCCAGGAGAGGGAACAAAGGATCTATCTTCTTGTCTCTCTATCAACTCTTCCTCATCAACTCATCCAGGTCCCATGTTTGTTTCTCTTCACAGAGATAAGAATCCTCAAAAGACTCACAAAAATATGTTTTTAAAATAATGATAACTTTATGGATTGCTTCTACCATTTTTACCGTGGTCTTGACATTTTATATCTAAATTTACTTACTTATCAAATACACATCTGTAACTGAAGGATAATGCTGTCAGTCTTGGGGTATTATAAAAATCACAATTTGTAAGTTTTCAGAATGTTTCTCTGTGTACACTGGCAACAGAAAGATTTTCTGAGTAAATTCAAAACTCTATACCAGACTTCAGGATGCTTGCAATCCTTTTATCTCCCCCTACCCATTAACACAGCTTCTTGCACCTAACAACAACAGAGTAAATATATACTGTGTTAAATTTCACACAGATGAGTAGGAAACAGGGACAATACAAAAGAGAGTAATTTGACATTGTAAGTGTTGAAATGGATAAGGAAGTACATAGAATTAGTGATGAGTATAGAACCCTGAGCATTAAGGATTCATCATAATGTTAAACAGAAAGACAACTGGTGAAAAGTACTGTAATTAAACATTTGGAGGGAGAAATGGAGCAGTCATTCAGGGAAAGAGGATTCTGTCTTCAGAGAATTCACAGGAAAAATCTCGCCACCAGGATGCTTGTGTAGTGCCAATGTCTCTTAGACTTTCCACTATGGTAAAACTATTCAGTCCCCATAGACTGTCTTGTACTTTTAATAACATGAAATTCAGTAAGACTGTGAGAGCCTATGGCCAAGAGATGTCCTCAGAGCACCAGTTCTGAGTTCCATAATGAGGAATTGGCAGAAGGGCTTCCAAATCAGCAGAGGCCACTTTTTTCCAGGCAAATATTTTCTTCAAACAATCAGTTACATGGGTCTCCAACTCACGCGTTCAGCAAAGCATTTCCTGATTGTCAATCCACCTCTACAGATGAATAAAGGACTCAGTCTGTCAGGAATTAGCTACACTACACAGACTGGAAGTAAATGAGCGACCCCAGACATCACCTCTCACAGATGTTATGTAATAGGCACTCTATTGTTCAGTATTAATTTCTCATGCTGAAAAAAACTAAATTATAATTACTAATTAGAATGGAATAGCCGTTTGTCACCAAAAGGGGGTTTAATCTTAACAGAAAAAATATGCCTTTATATTTTGAAAAAAATTTTAAATTCTTTTTTTTTTGGTACCGGGGATTGAACTCGGGTCCTTGCGCTTGCAAGGCAGGCCACCGAACCACTGAGCTAAATCCCCAGGCCCCAAAATTTTAAATTTTTAAAAACACTCTGTTTATGCCATTCCACCCCATCTATGCTGCCATACATAAAGGTTTTAGAGATGATCATGCAATTAAAAAAACAGATCACTTTATTAATATAAATTAAAACAAGGGCCGGGGATTTAGCTCAGCGGTTAGGTGGCCTACTTCACAAATGCAAGGACCTGAGTTCAATCCCGGGACAAAAACAAAACAAAACAAAAAAACCAATTAAAACAAAAATTCTTTTGTTTGATTTTAATATGCCATATTTAGCAAAAAAAACTTTGTAATTTGCCTCTGAAAACGAAGGAGTTCAATAAAATAAATTAATATTCAGGCCGGGGTTTTAGCTCAATGTTTCCAGCGCCTGCCTCACAAACACAAGGACCCAAGTTCGACCCCCGGTAACAACAACAACAAAAAATTAATATTCCATGAGAATAGTATCTAAAAACAACTCTACATAATTAAATACTTTTTAAAAATTTTTTTCATCCACTAATGAAGTTGCAAAGTAAATTGTATGGGTTTGGCTGCGTTACTTTATATGCTTTTGTAATGTCCACATATTAAATAACTTTATGGATACTAAATCACACATTAAATACTTATATACATAAATTTAAATATAAAAATGTGGGTCTGTAATCCCAAATTGGGAGGCTAAGACAGGAGGATTGCTGTGAGATCAAGACCAGCCTGGGCTACACAGTGAGTTCCAGGTCAGTATCAACTACATAGTGAGACCCTGTTTCAAAAACCCAAAAAACAACAACAAAAAAAGGTGGCTACTTAAAATAATAATTATTATATTGATAATTTGTTAAGCACCATTTGCAAATATTTATGTTCTACCAAAAACTGTGGATATATATGTATTTCATAAATATTATAGACATCAAAATATGTTATTTACATAATATCAAAGTATTATCTCCAATTTAAAAGGTTATAGAAGTTTAGAAAAATTAAGGCATATACTAGTAAATCTTTGATCTCCAATTTGAACCCAGCTTTAACTGACTCTAAAACCTACATGTTTAACGTCTTGCTTTTAAAATAAATCCAGATAGCCTTTACTAATGAAACCAATATTTTAATCGGCTTCCTGTGCAAGTCCTTACATTTCCTATTTTGCATTAAAAGCCAAACACACAAAGCATAAATGTGATGCCTAAGAAAATATGGAAAAGCCTGTGACTATTTTCCCGTGGTGCGTCTCACCAGTGTCCATCAGGTGTAGGTGTGTGAGAGGGAACAGCTGTCTCCCCGACACGACATAAACCAATCATCCTCCCAGTGCCGTCAGTCCTTTGCCTTTCAGTTAGAAAGTCAGCATGTCTGGAGGGATGCCCAGAAGGACACCTTTCCCTGGGAAACTGTACTTTTCAGTGAATCAAAAGAACAATGCGGGCCCTGCAGTACAGTGATAAAGTGCTTGCCTAGCAAGTGTGAAGACCTGGTTTTAGTCCCCAGTTCCATGAAAAACAAAACAAAACAATCTTTTTTCTGAAAGGAAGGCATGGGTGAAACAAAAGATTAGTTTGAATTCTTTTTCCACATTAGTCATATTTTAATGTCTTACATGTTTTTCTCAATCTCTCTCTCTCTCTCTCTCTCTCTCTCTCTCTCATATACTACATGGCAGAATACTAGGTAAAAATGTGAAGAGATAAAAGAAAAAAGAAAAGAGAATAACTTAGGAGTTTCTGAGAAAGTTATGGAAGCGAGAAACTGTGTGTGACCAAGAGATAAATTTGAGTCCTTTTTTAGGAACACAGATGTACCTTGAAACTACAATGTTAAGTGAAATAAATCAGACACAAATGCTTGAAAACCATATGGTTTTTCTAATATGAGAAACCCAAAGTATAAAAAAGAGGAAAAGACAGATAATAGGAAGTAGGTAAATAGATCTCCTTCCACATTCCACATTAGTCATATTTTAATGTCTTACATGTTTTTCTCAATCTCTCTCTCTCTCTCTCTCTCTCTCTCTCTCATATACTACATGGCAGAATACTAGGTAAAAATGTGAAGAGATAAAAGAAAAAAGAAAAGAGAATAACTTAGGAGTTTCTGAGAAAGTTATGGAAGCGAGAAACTGTGTGTGACCAAGAGATAAATTTGAGTCCTTTTTTAGGAACACAGATGTACCTTGAAACTACAATGTTAAGTGAAATAAATCAGACACAAATGCTTGAAAACCATATGGTTTTTCTAATATGAGAAACCCAAAGTATAAAAAAGAGGAAAAGACAGATAATAGGAAGTAGGTAAATAGATCTCCTCAAATGGGAAAAGGATCAATGGATGAAGGGCAAGGCAAGGGACTAAAAAAAGGAATTAAGATGTTTCGTGTACGTGTACCACCACCACACAAAGGGCACAGCAGTACGTATAACAAACATATACCAACCAAAAATAAAGTTTTAAAAAAGCTAGGAGGAAACACTGAAGTAAGAGAATAATATTACATTATTTCCATTTTATTTGGCTTATTATAATGAACTGGCAGGGCAATTAATTCTTAGAAGAATGAATTATAACCCCAATTATATAATTATATGAATCATGTGTCTCAGACATTGTGTAAAGGACTTTATATGTTACATTTCATTAAACCAATGAAGCAGCCATAAAATATGGTTTATATTATAATGCTCATTTTATAGTTAAAGAGACAGAGTCTTGCAAGAGGCTATGTCATTTGCTCCTGGACATAAATTTAGTAAGTGGCAAACAAGACTTTGAACTCTGGCAGTCTCATTCTCAGGATGAATATTTATCCTTTTCTCTCAATAATCCCAAGAAATAACATTATTACCACATTTATAGTTTTTTGCTAAAGCACTAAATAGAATTCTGGAATTTTTGTTTTCTTTTTTGCACCAGGGATCGAACTTGGGACCTTGCGCTTGTGAGGCAGGCAGTGGCACTACTGAGCTAAATCCTCAGCCCAATTCTGGACAATTTTAAGTAATGTGTTGCCAAAAGTCTACTTGGGTTCTTAATAAAGAAAACAAATGATGACTTTGAACTCCAATACTAAGTCAATATCAACTTAGTCACACATTCGTTGTTAGGGGCTCTGTGCCTAATGCTACACAGTCGTGATAGAACCTCACAGAAAGTGTGAATAACTTCACTTCCAAAATCAATCCAAGGGCTGAGAAACTCAAGTTAGTTTTCTTTGAACATGGCAGCTGCTTTGCTCTGGCATGAATCACGAAGAAAAAGTGACAGGACAAAGCTAGCCAGCTGTTTCCCCAGTAGAAATGCATGTTCCTTCAGTGTGACATGAACAATTAAGAGCACAAGGCTTGAGAGTAACGGCCCCACGGATATCCATATCTCAGACTAACTGGCATCACTGTTCCTAGAAGGAGGATCAATTCTTTACGGGACGGAAGATACACCAGAAAGGATACATCCTTACACTTAATTCGGTGACGGACTCCTTAAAGAACACATACAACGAGCAACTGCCCTGGTTCAATATACACATAAAATTTGTGTTGATTTCATCAGAGTGTTGTCGTATGCAGCATAATTATGAATCTTTAGATCCCTTTATTTAAAAAACAAATAAAATACTTACATTATTAATAGGAGAGCATACTGGTTTCGTTCTTGAAAATCTTTGGGTAGGGACAACTGTAAAGGAAGTTCTTTTAAAGAAAGAGCAAAATATTAAAGATGCAGAGCCATTTATACATAAAATTATAAGATTTAGAGAAAGTTATTCTTGAATAACACAGCATGCATAAAGCTTTACCATAGTCATCAATATGAATGATTTTAATTTCTGACTTTACTGTCTTCTTCTTCTGAAGAGCTTGCTTCAGCACAGAATTGCTTTCCAATATAAAATATTCTGTAAACCAAAAAAGGTAGTATAAATATGTCACTCCTGTGCACTCATCAGGAATCAAGGAGACAGTGCAAAAATTTATGCATTTAGCATTTCGCAGACATTCTGCTCGTATTTTTACAATCGGTTTACTGAATCACTATGAAAATATTTAGACTGAACTCTCTTTCTCTCTTCTAGTAAAATTTCGTTTGTTCCTATACATTGGAATTAGCATCCACACTTCAAAAATGAAAATTATAATATGTAACTATCCTGTTTAAGACTACATAAAGGGAAACAAAATTATCTATTACCACATAAGATTAAATCTGAAATGTCTAGATAGCAATATAGAAACTCAGGATAAGAATAAAATTTAGTCATCAGAAAAATGACAGAAATGACAAAGGTAATTAAATTCCCAGATAAAGATATTAAAACGGCAATTAAAATACAGATTAGTTGTTCAATAAGGTAAAAAGACCATAAAAACGTTAGGTATTCTTAGAAACAAACACCATAGAAAGTGAAATACATGAAAAGTACACAATCTAAGGTGAAAAATACACTGAAAGGGATTCACAGAATATTAGATACTTCAGAAAAACATAATGAACTGACAATAATAATAGAAAATGTAGAAAGTGAAACAAGAAAAGCTGACAACAGATGAAGGTAGCATCCATAGCTTTCTAGAATTTTTATTAAATCTACAGATATATTAGAGTAGATTATACATATTAAAATTAATGAATCTTCAAATTCATGGTCAATTTCATTTTGGGTCTTTAATTTATCCTAGGCATGTTATATCATCTTAATTTTAGAGGATTTATATATTTAGACTTATTCCCAGATACTATATACTTTCTAAAGTTATTTTATGTAGCATTAAAAACTATGTTTAATTTTTAATCAAAATTTATTAATTGACTGAATTTTATATATTGATTTGTACTTTTAACCATGATAAATTCACTTTTTTCTAATTTTTTCATATGTGTATTCCATAGATTGTGTTTGCTTGTTTTTATTTTACACAAGGATGTATTCTGCAAATGAAAGTGTCACTACGTATCTCTCTTACCTTTCGGTCTAGTTCTCTATCACAATGCTATATGGAGAAGTGAAAGCTGACAAGCTGGAGACTCCCGGTTCCAGGGAAGAGTCAGTCTCCATCTATCGTCATTAAGCACAATTTCATAGTATTTCTGTGGATATCGCTCATCAGGTAAAGGAATTCACTTCCTATTTTTATATTGTTGATTAATCTTATTATCGTGTTATTCCCATTTGTCACATTTATCAAATGCTATTTTCCTAAATATTTTGAGGTGTCAGTGAAATAGGGTGAATTATGATTTTTTATTAAATATTACAATGTATTTCCTGAGTGAACTTCATATGGTCATAATACATAATCCTTTTCATAAATTGCTGGATTTGATTTGCTACTACTAAGGAAACCTGAAAAAGTGTACTAATAAAATAAAAGGATAGAAATAAATAAATACATTTATTTATGAGAAAACCTGATATCTGTATCTGGATTTGGAATTGAGATAAAACGGGCTTTATATTTACTGTGCTTTCTCTGTCATTTCTGTTTTATTCTCTTTTACCTAGTTATGAATCACATTTTCTACTTCCTTCATATGACCCTTATTTTTTATTGGCCACTGGTAGTATGTATGATGTTTGCCTTTTTAAATTCCAGATTCTATGATATTTTTGTAAAAATTCTTGGAGTTCATCTGGCTGATGTTAGCTTACTGAGAAGTCAGCTTGTTTATGCCAAGATTTTTTAAGATGTAATTTTTTGTGGACTTTAATACCCTTTCCTCTGTGGCTAGTTTAATTGTATCCTTATGTTTTTCTTAAGTGTCTTTTTCTAGTCATATGAAATGACCTTTATTTTTCAAATATGAAGATATATCTGACTTTCTATTTTTTAATGAACTGTGTGCATACAATCTTTCTTGAAATATCTTTCCATTGGTTTCTTCTTTTCCAGGAGCTCTTGACAATTTCTAGCAGATAAATTACCATATTCTCATACTGATTTCATTTTGTGTTTCTCCTACTGGATTGTAACTTTTATATATGATCTCAGGCACAGCAAAGTATTTTTGTAAATAAATCAAATTACCTCTTTGTAAATAAATGTCTTACTTAAATCTGGGAGATTAGATAAGTTTCTCACATGCTTAATATAGAAAACATCTCAGACTACGGACACTAGCAAATTTTCAAGGAAGCTTTAATAAAAATTACATTTTAAATAATTGAAATTAACTTTTGATCATATCTTAATGGAGTAGGAGTACAAACAGTCCAACTGTGCTATTTAGGGCGGAGTTTCCATGACAACACAGGTAGCTATAAACAGAGGGACATGCGCCAGGGATTTAGCTCAGTGGTTCCACCACCTGCTTCAAAAGCACAAGGTCTAGAGTTTAATTCCCGGTATAAAAACAAAAAACAAACAAACAAGAAACAAAAAAGCAGAGGGACCGAGGTGAGCACTCAAACACACACACACACACACACACACACACACACACATGCCTGTTTTTGTCACCATGTGCTTTGTACCACCTTAGCATTGTCCCCAGGAATACTCTCACCAAAGACTGAATCAGCAGTGTCACCTGAAGAGAGATTGTAATCTTTTTTTTTAATAACACTAGACTGCCTCAGATAGTCTATTATAGTAATGAAAATTGTACTAAGATAGCAAAACTAGGTATAAAACTTTTGAAATATTAACTATATAAGATTTTACAAATTACTGTCATATCTCAAGTCACTGAGCATCATAAAAAGTTTTTACTATTATTATAAGACAGTATATGTTAATTACAAACTTAGGAAAAATATTAAAGGAAAAAAAGGAACATTAAAAGAATGTTTCCAGGTAAATTTAAGAACTTTTAATATTTGTGAGTATTATCTCCATGGACTTTCAAGCAGTTCTGTTGAAATGTCATAAATAATTAATCAGCCTTCTTAATAATTTAAAAACACAACTTTAATATTTTTGAAATATTATATTTAATAAACCTGTTTTATTTTAATCCTAGTAAAAAGCTGATGCCACTCATCAATTAGAATAATGACAAGATTTTAATAAAGAGGTTGATTTCAAATGTGTGAACACAGGGTAAGAGGGAACTCAGTTACCCATTGCTATAAAAGGGGCCAGGCTTGAAAGTCAGAGAAAAAAACTGTTTGCAAACCCTCCATGGAGATAGCTATGCAAGATCCCCTGAGGGCCAGTGCTTTGAGTCCAGGTCACAGCCAGTCTATACCAACTCCATAAGGACAGGACTGACGACAGACATCAGACAGGACTTTTGCTTTCACTTTCCAGTTGCTCTAACCATTTTTCTCAGTTGAATAAAGCAACAGAATCTAAGTCATCTATGCAAAGCATATCTATGCCAGAGAACACAGATAGATGGCATAAGGGCGAAAGTGATTCTTGAGGCACAGGGAGGAGGCATTGAAGGTATGGACTAGGGCGCCATTAAAATTTATTTAAAACTGTTAATCTTTGTCACTTGTAATACCTTTTACAACTATCGATCACTGTTAAAATAATTCATTTTAGAATTATATGCTTGATATAAATGTAAAAATAAAAAATACTTAAGATTGAAGGCTTATGACTGACAAAACTGACAAAGCTACTTTTCCCCCAAATCTGTTACAACTTATATTTCTAGCAGCAGGATTTTATACATATATATGTATATATTTATATATATATTTATATGTATACATATTTATATATTCATATATATATATATGGTGAAATTTTCGTTATTTGATAGAAGTATACGGCAGTGTTTTACTCTGCATTTCTTCAATAATCAGTATGCTAAAATGTTTCCATGTTTGTTATATGTTTTCATTTTTCCTCTTTAATTTTTATCTTTATTATCACGTTTGCAGTATATAAGGACCACATTCCTCATGGGGAGTCCGTGTGTGTAACACATCTCAGTTGCTCTACATCTCCTTCCTCTCTTCCCTCCTGCGGCCTTTTTTAAACCATCTTTTCCCTTGCCATTCGCTCCATCTCATTTAAGAAAGATTGATCTCCCTACTTGCTATCATCTATCTTATATTTTTGTTCCTTATGCATACTTTGGGTTTCTCATACAGAGAAACTATGCAATATTTAAGCTTGTGTGACTGATTTATTTCATTTAGTATTATGGTATATTTTCCGACTGATAACACAATATGTTATTATTTGTGGCAGAGTAGTAACACTGTGAGTAAATACACTGTTTCTTCATCTATTCATTTTTTAATGGACTTATAGGCTGCTTCAGAGATTTAGCTATTATGAATTATGTTGCTATAAACATGGGTACCACATATCACTGTACCATGATGTCTTCATGTCTTTGCCAGGATACCCAGAAGGTAATAGCTGGTCCAACGAAATTCTACTGTGAGTTTTGTGAGGAATCTCAACACTGATTTGTTTGCACTACTCTCCACTCCCCCAGCAATGCAGAAGTGCTCCTCTTTCCCCACTGTTTCACTAGCACTTATTATTTAATTCTCTGATGATGGGCATTTTTTCTGAGGTAAGAGGTAATGAGTGTTGTTTAGTTTGCATTTCTCTAATGGCCAGCAGTGTTTAGCTTTTAAACTTTTCTTTATATATTTACTGGACATTTTTATTTCTTCTTTTGAGAAGTGTCTGTTCATTTCACTTGCTTATTTTTTGACTGGGTCTTACTTTGGGTGGAATACTTGTTTTGAAATTTCTTATATTGCAGACTCAGTCCTCCGCCCGAGCAATAGCTAGCAAAATGTTTTTACCATTTTGTAGGTTGTGTCGTCACTCTAATAGTTGTTTCTTTTGCTGTGCAGAAGCTTTTTAATCTGATATGATCCCAATTCATTGATCACTGGTACTGTTTCCTGTGCAACCTGAGGTTTTATTCAGAAAGCCCTTGTCTATGCCTATGAGTTCAGGAACTTTACTTATTTTATCTTCCAGCAAATTAAGTGTTTCTGTTTTAATACTTAAGTCTTAGATCCATTTGGGGAGTGTATTTAGCTCAGTGGTTCTGCTGCCGGCTTTGCATAGGTCCCGAGTTCAATCCCCAGTACCAAAAAAAAAAAAAAGTCTTAGATCCATTTTGATTTTAGTTGAGAACATAGTGAAAGACAATGGGTCTAGTGTATGTTTTTGGCTCCTTTGTAAAAGATCAAATAATTAAATGTACTTGGGGTTGTTTCTGCATCTTCTATTCTGTTCTATTGATCCTTATATCTGTTCTTCTACCAGTTCCAGGATGCTTATAAGGGAAAAGAAAAAAATGTGAGAGAATGAAAAGATGAAAATAAAGTGTTTGTAGATGGGGAGGGGAGGAGGGGGTGAAGGGAGGGCAGGGATAAGGGGAAAAATGAGAATCAAGACTTGTCATGTAGAGGTACAAGATCCCAACAATGAATGTAACTGTACTGTGTCCCTAAAATGTACCAATAGACTCAATTAAAGCTGAAAACAAAAAACAAAAAACAAAAAACAACAGCCAACATCATATTAAATGTTCAAAAACTATAAACCTTCATGTTAAAATAGGAAGAAAAGGGCTTTTGCTATTCCTGATAACCTCTGGTTCCATGTGTATTTTAGATTTGTTTCCTCCAGTTCTGTGAAGAATGCTACTCCTATATGGTTGGCATTGTGTATCTGCACATCAGCTTTGGGAGTATGGTCATTTTGATAATATTAGTTTTCCCTTTCCAGGAACAGGGGATGCCTTCCTATTTTCTGAAATTCTCTTTAACATCCTTTTTCAGAGTACTTTAGTTTTCATTGAAGATGTCTCTTATTTTTAGGTTAACTCTTAGTATTAAATTTTTCCTGGTGGGATTGTGAGTGACACATTTTTTCCTAGTTTCTTTCTCAGTAATTTCATTACTAGTGCACAGGAATGCTACTAATTTTTTTGTGTTAATTTTGTATCCTGCTACATTGTTGAATTTGAGTATTAATTCTAGGAGTCTTTTGGTGGTTTGGATCTTCAATCTATGTACAGTATCAAGTCATATATACTCTTTTTATTGCGTAATTATTCCTTTTCTTTTCTGGGGTGCTGGTGATTGAACTCAGGCACTTGCACTTGTGAGGCAGGTGGCAGAACCACTGAGCCAAATCCCTGGTCCTTTGCCTAATTATTCTTGAAATATTTTGGGTACCATGATAAACTGGAGCGATGACAGTGGACATCTTTTGTTTTTCCTGGTTTTAGAAGCAAAGTTTCAACTTTTCCTCATTTACCATATTGTGGGCAGAAGGTTTGCCATAAATGGCTTTTTATCAGGTTGAGATGAGGTTAGTCTATGTGTGTTTTCCTCAGTGTTTTTATCATGAAATGATGTTGAATTTTGTCAAAGGTTTTGTTGTAGCTACCAAGATGAGCATATGCTTTTTTCCTTGCTTCTTTTTATGTGATATACATTTATTAATTTATGTATGTTGAGCTATCCTTACATGGAAAGAGGAAGCCTGCTTGGTCGTTATACATGATCTTTTGGATGATTTGTTGCCAGTATCTTGTTGGGGACTTTTGCATCTATATTCCATTTTCATTTTTATTTTTCCAGTTTTCTCCTTATATCCGATATGGACTGATACATGGATATGCTTACTTTCAATAACATAAAAAAGTACAAGTTCCTGAATATAAATTTTATCCTTAACAATAAGTGTCCTTTCAAAAGACAAGCAAGCATCTGACCAGCCCTTTCTTGTTTCCCCCTTGATCATGAGACAATCAGAGTTGACTTCTGAATGGCAAGGTCAGCATGACTTCTCTTAGACAGAAATGTTGCATAATTTGCAACCGAAATGATTTATAACATGCAGCAATGTAATTAAAAAGCAATGTGGTAACAGTTGGGTAAAATTAAAATCATATTTGGAATTTCCTTATAATAACCCTTTGTTAAAGGCAGAATCCGCAATGAAATATAAGCAGCTGTCTTTATTAAGTGTGTCATATATGTTATGAATATCCTTCATCGTCATGACAACACATTTGCTTATTTTCCCAGGAAAAAAATGGTCCCAAGAGAGATTAACTAACTTGTTTCAGATCCTACAAGAAGTTGGCAATGGAAATTATTCATATAATGATTTATTATGCATCTATGAAATTTAACCTTCTATTTAATCAACCATACCATCTTTATCATTATTTTCACTGTCAGTACTCAACAGTTTGAATGTCCTTGCTGTACTCCCCCATGATGTACACTGCAATCAAGGTTAAAGGAATAAGTAGAAACTAAGATGTGGGCCAAACCATCTTCCAACCACACCAAAAATAGTCACAAATTTAGAATCTGTCTCTGTCTATGGCAGGCAGTAAGTCTCTACAAGACAGTTTTTCAGGAGTTTAAATAGACTCTAATTTCTCAAAGTACCATTTATTATTCAAATTTACATTTTTACATTTGTATCTCCTTTAAGTCAAGGTATACAACTAAGACTCCTCCTTCAATGAAGTATATGATGCAAGAGAAAAGTATGATGCATAAAGGTGTCGTCATCTTACAGTGAATTCCTACTTCTGTCATTTACTTGTATGACTCTAGCTAAGTTATTAAACTTTCCGTGACTTAGTTTCCCCATTCACTTCCTAAAAGGAAGTAAAGAAAGTTTACTATGTCAGGGATGTTCTGACGAGGCAGTCATTATGAGTCTTATTATTCAATGATCATAGTTAATGGTCATCAAAGTATAAGAGTGTTCATCAAGTATATCTGAAAAGGTAAAAGAAGCAAAGACTGAAGAAGAGAATGAGAAAGGAAGGCTCTGAGGAGCAATGTGAGTATCCTTTTCTAAGATCAGCTCAATCATACATTTACTCATCCACTTTACTGCAAATCCTGAAACTCACATGACCATCTAATCAATGCAGCACTAGTCTCTGCCACTTTGCTTGATAATGTGCCCATTGAAAAACAAAGTTGAATATATGAAAGAATAAAAGTAATTATGTAACTAAACAATTTAGACATCTGAAACAAACCAGATACAAAATGTATTAGCTAATATATTTTTCATAATTATCCAAAATGAGTGGAAAAGGCAATGTTTTGGAAGAACAACCTATATGAAACCCACGAAAGAATGGCCCAGAGCACTAGGAGGGCGGAAGATTGAAAAGTCCTGCCCTGTTCATCACTGTGCATTGATTTTGGTACAGCGTGTCCCCAATGGCAGGCAGAGGAAAGTCAACCCAGGATGTAACTTAGCTCAAACCACTTGCTTTTTTGTTGCCCTTCCAAACATAATATCAAGATGATGGTACTGACACAGCATTTCAACCACTAAGAATTCCTTTGAAGGTTTGTTGGAGTATGACACACACAATGAATATGGTGACACTATGACCAATGCCAGATCCATGCTATTCCGCATTGTCCTCTTGTGTACTCACTTGCTGTGTTGTTCGTGTTATGCAGGGTGACCACTGGAACCCTTGGACCTGGATGTTAAAAATACATGTATGAACATTTATTTATAGAGATCTAGGTAACAGTTACAGGAAAGCTTACAAGACAGAGTTCTTTTTCCAAATGGAAATATTTCATGGTTTAAAATATAATGAAACAGAAATGAAATAGATTACATGGCTTTCCATGGGCATTTTATTTTATTTTTTTCACTGAGTTTATTGGTACCTTTTGAGTATACGAGGCATTTTATTCTGATATGTAAGAGCATATGGGGAAAGAAACTATTTCCTGATTTTTTTTCAAGATCTTCATTTCCACACGATTTTTACTTGTAGGCTTTGATTGTTTTAGCCAAACCTATTTGCTTCTGTATCTTCAGTCTTTTAGAATAGTTACTTATATTCTGCATGCTTATTCATGACCCTTTCACTCTATATTTGTTGATTCAAAATAAAATTCTATTTGCTAATCAGTCACGAAAGAAAGAAGGTATGCATATTTAAATATAAATAAATTACATAACGAATAATTTGGGGCTAGTTCCTTACCACTTTTAAAGATGTTAACCAAAGACTCAAATACTTAAAATGTACTAATTACATTGGTACTAAAAAATCAAGTTATCTTGAAACTTCCCCTCTTTAAAGGACCCTAGTGTTATGGTTTAAAATTGAAATGTTTCTCAAAGTTTTCATGTGTTCCAAAGTGGAGCTTTTTGAAAGTGACTGTATCGTGAGGGCATTGCGCTCATCAGTGGATTAATTCACTGATGAGCTCATAGCTGGAGGTACTATTTGGAGGAGGGTACTGGTGGAGGAGAGGTCACCAGGGCATGATCCAGAAGAGTATATGCTTGTCCTCAGATACTCCTTTCTCACTTTCTGCTTCCTGGCTGCCCAAGGATGAGCAGGTCTCCTCCACCACACCCTTCTACCATGCTGTTCCTGCCCTGGAGCAGGACAACCATGGACTAAACCTCTGAAACAATGAGAGAAATTCAACTTTTCTTTTGAACTGTGGCTGTCAAATACTGTGTCCCAGGAGCCAGAAAGTTAATACACATTTCTGAAAGTCTAGTGTTTTTCCCCTCATGTCATTAAATAAGTAGTTCTCTTTTCTTATCGTATAACTTCACGTATCAAGAGAAAAAATAACTCAAATGAAATATCGGCATATTAACTGTAATGTCTTAAAAGGACAGCTTAAAGTTGAAGGTTCAAGGTGTAGCAGTGGTACTGCTTTTATCACATTATAAAAGAACTCGTGATTTCTACTTATATCCAGAAAGCATAGTCTCATTATAAAGCGAACCTGATTCTCATGAACACACTCTAGAGATACTTGCATAATCAGGTACATGCTGTTAGAAGCTAGAAGAAGTAATCAGGGTTAATATAATTGCCCCAAATTTAAGAAAGCTGGAAGGAGAAATTCATTTTCATAAATCCTAAACCTCTTAACAACAAAGCCATTGATTCTAGCCCTTTCTAAAGGATAGCTAAATTAGAATGGATTTACCAATACATGTTTACTCACGTTTTAAAAAATGCCATGTTTACATAGCCTTTATTGAACATGTGCTCATGTTGAATTTCTGCCAATTTTTTATTTCTAAATGAAATTCATGAATTAAATTTGTATTTAAGTAAATCCATAATATTCAACATTTTATGTGTATTAATGGTAGCACTAGTGATCAAATAAAATGAATGAAATAAATTCTTTAAGAAATCATATTTTGTCTTACCTTCACAGAATAATAAAAAATGCTGATTCATGGGACTAAAATTGGCATCAAAATATGTACATTGTTCTTTCATAACATTACATGAGATGCACTGGCGATTCAGTGATTCTTCAGTAGAAGCACTGAGGAAAGAAAATGAAAATTAGAAATGCTACTATTCCAGGAACTTGAGTTTGTAGCATCCGCATTTGAATACAGTGTAACATAAACAGAAATGGACATCAGTGCTTGTGTAGAATTTCCTTGTAAACCTTGACTCACTAGATACACTCAGAGCCAACTTTCATTTTGAATACTGAGATGTATACATTTTTATCTGCAATAAAATTAAAATGTTTATAATGTATTTGTATATATGACTATTCATAAAGAATACATGATTTCCCTAGGTTTCAACACAACTTATGATTATTTGCATTTTCATTACAGATATTTCTGTGTAACGTTATAAATGGAATTACCCACGAAGTAAGATAAATTAAGCATCAATCAATATTAGTCAAATTGTGAATAAATGTTTCTATAAGTAACAAAATCAAATTCATGATTTTCTAAATTCAACAGGTTATACATTGTAATTTAGGATCATTTCCAAATTTTTTTTCTCCAATCACTTGTTAAAACGGTGAAGAAAAATTAATTTTCAATGATAGTACATATGCTATAATAATACATACTTTGACATATTAAGGGGTAAAAACAAAAGCAATTGTTATCTTTATTTTATAATAATGGTGCTCAAGGTCAGAGAAATACATAGATATATTCACACAAATTTACATTTCTCAGTATTTACATCATAAACTTGCTCAAACAAGAAATGCAAATTTTGAGAGAAAAACACTGTCGCAGTGAATATGATAAGAGTTCTGATTCTGCAGGGGATAGTTCTGTAGTGCCTTACATTAAGCCAACCAGCAATTATTTCTTTCACTTAGTAAGACATTGATTCAGATTTCTGGGTGAAACACCAACATTATCCCATAGCTAAGGCAACTGGCATTTGATGAGCTATTTAAAGGGAAATTTATGGTTCTACGTTTTCTTTACAGCACAGAGGGCTACACTAGTACAGGATGTAGATATATTGACTTCTTTGCCTCAGTCAGGAGAAAGATAAGACAAGCCCACAAATCTAAGGGGGCATTGTGATTCAAATCACATTTTAAACTAATAAGAGGAAGAGAGATGGAGGCAGCTCTATTTGCTGACCTTGACCAAGTCTTATCTTCTGACAGGGTTATATTTCTTTAAGAGTTTTATACAATGGAAGAAATAAAACATTGATCAAGTATTTCCACACTTCTAAAGTACTGTTCATGACTATCAACATTAATCATAATATGTGTTTCACAGAAGATGAGCTTCAGGTCACCAGAAAGACAAAGAGAACAGTTTTGACAAAGACCTGTGAACCAAAATGCAAATCAGTAACTCTTAACAAAGAGCTTCCCTTTCTCTTGAAGTCATTAAAATTGTGAACATGGGTCCAGTAGGTCCAAGAGAATAAACTAAAAATATAAAGTGACATACTGGGAGATGTAACTGAAAAGTAGTGGCTTGCTTGGAAAAAAGAAGTGTGCATAAATTAGAGTATGGAGGAGTCAGAGTACTTTAAATATGCATTTTTGCTCTCAGAGGAAATTCCAGGCTACTTGGTAAAAACCAGAGGTGATACTTCTTCAAACATGATGAATTTCCACTGAGAATATGTCATGGAAGTTTTGACATTTAAAAATAGGTCTGTAAAATGGAAATAAGAAAATGTATATAAAGTCTAGGATTAATACCTCCTGTGTCAGCCAGAAATAATAGTCATTCCTGTGTAGTCTTGGGGAAAGCTTTCTGAATGAAGAGACATTTTAATGCTAAATAGGTGGGGTCTTAAGCTCCTCTTATTAATATAACTTTGCATTTGGGGAAATTGGGCAGATGGAAATACTCCCCATGAATTGCTATATTTCAGTTAAGCAATAAAAATTCCCATTTTTAAACAAGCATGCCTCCTTTCACAAAAATCTCATTGGATTTTATGATATACAGGACAAAACAGGGAAAGCTTATGTTTGATATTACTAAGTATTATTCTATTCAACAATAAATTATGTATTTACCATCAAAAATTCAAAATGACCTACTGAAAGAAGAGGTTACTAGGAAAAAAATATAAATGTCACTGACACGGGGAGTTCAGAAACAGCATCTAAAACACTGTAAAAACACATTTAAAAAAAAAGGGAAAAGAAGCAAGAGAGAAATTCTCCAGCCAGGTCTAGTTCTCTTAGTTCAGAATGGGTCAGAACTAATGGACTGCCTCAAGCCGGTGAGGTTTTGTGGCATAAAAGATGAGTCTTCCCTACCCATGTTGAAAATGGGACTTTAGATTTTTGTTCAATATGTTGTGCGATTGTCATTAGGAAGCCAACCTGTGTAAGGAGATCCTTGCAAAGCACCTACCTGTATAACTGCCTCCCTCTGGGAGATAACTCGGTGCTCAGAAAGTAACTGTGTAGGAAACAAAAGAACACAAACATTAGAATTTGATCTATTTTAGTCACAATGATGCCATTTGAATTTTCAAAAAGAAAAACAGACCAGTGTTACTTTGTTATTCAACAACAGGACTCTGAACAACCTAGCAAATATATCCTGTTTTTCTTTATGAAATCAGTTCCCTTCTGCAGGATCTCAATCTTTCTGTCTTTCACCTGCGTGGTCTCTGCAACATGTTTGAGTCAAGTACAGAGGAAGTCTTCAGGAAAACATTACTCTTCACATGGGTGGCTTGCTTTCACTAGGATTATGCCAAGCAAAACATAACTCTAATAGAAAGGACTGCACTTGACAGCTCTGCCTGTCAGCCTGAGGACAAAACCAAAAACACTCACATTTTCTGACTAGTTTCATCGTATGCCAAGATCTTTATCACTTCCCAGTTTCCTGATGTCAGATGCCGGACGGTAATTTGCTCACTTTTACTCTGCAAAGAAATGGAAAATATTGATTTTTCCTTTTATTTAAACAGCATGTCTCTGGTAAACATGAAAATACCAACTGCCTGTGCCATATTTAATTCTTTAATTCTCAACTGACAGTCAGGTTTATTTGTAAGTCTCAAAATGCACACATATTCTTATAACCACAGATCCAGACAGGATTCTGCCTTTATTATTGTGTTGTAAGAAACAGTCAGAAAACTGCAGGTGAGCCTGCACCTGCGCACAATCTCAACAGCGGTATTGTGAGTCCTAACACTTTGATCACTCTCACTAAATAATCAACACATGTGCAGTCCAGACAACTTGACATGAAACATTTCAGAAGAAACTTTACTGCAAATAAATACTGCATGTTATTTACTGGTGAACCTTTATTGTATGTGCATTTATATGAGGTTTGCTATTTTCACTCAATTTGTGTCGGGCACGAGTCTATGTTGATGATTATAGCTATGATTCATGTGTAGTTTACTGAAAGAAGGTAGTATGACTAATCTGCTTTTCTAACATTTATTTCCAAAATTTTGCTCTTTTTAAAGCAATAATATGTTTTTCAGTGGATTTATTTAAACTTGAATTTATTTTATTGTAAAAATTTTAGCCTATAGAAAAAGAAGTTATACAGATTTGTGAGCTTTGGTACATTTATGCTTTTATAAAATATCCAACTCAGGCTAAACCTTTCTGACTCAAGTCTTTGTCAGTTCTCTCTACATATTTAAGTCAATACATAATCATTTTACATACGTACGGGTTACAGCGAACATAAAGTATGCACACAATTTGTAGTGATCAGACCAAGGTAGTTGGCATATATATAAAAGCTTTCCATGTATTAGTTTCCTTAATGTATGTATGTGTGTGTATATATATATATATATATATATATATAT